AACTCAATATTACCAGCACTACACCGAAATAAATTAATAAACACTTAAAATAAGCAATCTCAAACACCCCTTTAGTCATTCAATATAAAAGTTCGATGATTTTTTTTATTAAAAAATGAAGTTTAGGGACTTAATCATTCAAAATAAAAAAAAGATCGTTTTCTTTTTTTACTTTTCCCTGTTACATTTACATAAAACAATCGATAATAAACTTTATATGAACATTCTTTTCATGTAAATGTTTGGTAGATGTGTAATAAATAGTTGTTACATTCATAACAATTAATTGAACCTTACAGTAAAGTTTTGTGTGAAGATTATCTGATTTTTTATGGAAGTTTTTTTTTTTTTTGTGAATGATTAGTTATCGATATTATATTATCAAGCATTTGATAAAAATTCTTAAAAACTATTGTTTATGCCTTAAGTACTGTGTATTGATACATATTACTTAAAATTCAAAATTACAAGTAAATTATAGGTATATACGACTTATTAAAGTTCCATGTTTGAATTTGTGTAATTAACTACATATATACATAATCAAATACTGGATAGGTATCTCATCTTAAATATAAAAAAATCTAAAATATAAAAAAATCTAAAATATATTTAATATAATTATTGAATTCTAACAAAATACGAATTATTATCTTAAATCTAGAAGCTTGTTTGTGAAAGAAAGGCTGAAATGAAGAAAACGTAGCAGACAAAAATCCATAAATATTTGAGTTTTCACGATAAACCTTAAATAGGAACTGAACCTTCCTAATTTAGTTTGTGTTAATGTTTTGTATGAAAATTTATGTACAAATTCTCAAGATCCAATAATTTTTTAGAAAACGTCACAATCACCACTACTATCGTTGACCACTTCTTTCTTCCATCGTTAACATATAAAATCATTAAATAACATTTACATACAACTTTTTGACGTCCTACTTATACTAAACGTCAGATTGACGACTTGTCATATGAATGTACCAACCTAAATATTTTGTATTTATAAAAATAAATCATGTTAGTTCTAAAAATAGACTAAAATAAATTGATTGTTTGTTTACTTCTTAACAGTTCTATTAAGATAAAAAATCTATCTTTTAATGATTTTAAAACTCTCTAAATAATTTTATATCATGAATATCCTTACTATTTAACCCTCTAATTCCATCGTAAACAATTACCTAACAATTACCGTTTTATCTTTGTACCAAACCATTCATCGACCGCGTAGTGATATGATATGATGATATCCTCAACTCAACCTTAGGGGGCGATCGAGGAGCCATTGAGGGGTCAACAGCTTTGCGGTCTGTAATATTTCCCAAATCTCTCCATACATTCATACAACGGAGGCGACCAGGTAAATTTTTATACTCAATCGCTTCTTGTTTCTTTTTCTTCCTGAAAATCTTGAATTTTATGCTTGCGTTTCTTCTAATTTGATTGTTAATTGAGCTAAAAATAGTAGCGTCATTTGTGGGTGGATTTCAGGTGTTTTGGTTCTTATACCTTTGCTTACATGATTGGGAATCTTGTGGATTCATTTATAGACGATGATTTTACATCACCATCTGAAACCAAATAGAATTATTCGAGTTTTGTGCAACGCCTAAGTAAATGATAAATTCAAATGGAGTCTGAATCATGAAATTAGGGTTTTCTTTATTTGGATTGTAATTTTCCGACTTGAAATGATTGGACTTGGTTCGTTATCCTGAATTTAGGATCTGTGTCAATGGTGTAGTTGAACTGAAAGAGCTCCGAATCTGACTGAAACCTCTAGCTCTACTTTCCTTTGATTCTTTTTGATGTATCCACAATGAGATGCTTGAAATGTTGTTATATTTAAGGGGGCCAAAATGCATAACCATTAGGATGATGGTTTCTTAATTTGCAGACTAAATAACCTAAACTCTTTTAAAGGAAGAACATTATCTTAAGACTACCACCATATTTCTCTGTACTTGCTCTTCCTTACTCAATGAGAGTGGAGCTTCCTTTTCTTTATCCAGAAAAATGAGGATGGAACTTATTGCAATAGGGAGAAATTGGATGTGTGTGTGCAAGTGCCCTTTTGTTGAAGTTGTTCTTAGGTATAGTCCTATAGTTAGGTGGGGAGATGAAACTTAGCAAATTAAGTTTGAGTAATTTTTGCTTTTTACCTATTGAAACCAAATTATGGATTTAAATAAAATAAACAATCTAATGACTAAACCCTCATCGAAAAACAACTTTTAGAATATTTCTTAGATAATTTGCTAAAAGGGATGAACAAATCTTGGTGTTTTTGCTAAATACAAGACCATCGCTTGAAGAGTTGACTCAAAAATGAATTGAAGATCATTTGATGCCAGTATACGTATAGCATCACGAGGCTACTTTTTATTAGTCTAGTAACATGCCATGATTCTTGTAAGATGCTAAGATAAAGATAAATTCACGAGATCACAAACACTTTGCAATCTCTATTGTGGAACATTGTTGTCAAATCTAGTATGTATCTTGAAGAAGTGGGCCAACTTTGGTTGGACAAAGTTATACCACTTGCAAAAAAGATCCATATGCAACTTGGGAAAATGCTCCGTCATCCTGAAGTAAATTATACACTTTTGAGTTTCTTTTTAATGAATATTAAGCAATATAATTCCCAAAGCTTGAATATCAACTAATTTCCCTATTGTGCTAGTAAGCCTTTATTTACAGAGCATTGATGATTTATCTCCTTGAGTGGATGGTAACGGTAGAAAAAGAGTGATAGTGTTAGATTGCTCGGTTAGAGTAGTTCTTCTTGTTTGACAGTTTTATCATTGGTTAAAAATGAATACCAAAATGACTATATTCAAATATTAAATCAGAAAATTTAAAACTGTAATTTTAAATTTTAAATAACTGAAAAAGATTATAAAGGTGGACTTTGTTTATATGGTGCTCTTCAAACCCAAAAATTGATGATGAACTTCTTCTTTATCTAGTGTCTGAAAATACTCCCATGGATTTTCTCAATTGGAATGGTAACTACAAGAAAATCACTTTGCATTGAAGGACCATCATTTTTGGACCACAAATTCTTACTTTCTCATTAGTTGCCGCAGTTTTGTATCCACCAAGACTTGAAAAGACAATGTACAATACAAGAGGTAGTTTAGAAGTGTAATAGTTGGTCATTGAGTTTCTTAAAAGGTCGATTTATCTTAGGTGGGAAGAAAATCTTATATTTGTTGGCATGTTGTGTGGTAACTGTGTTACATACCCCAACATGGAAACATGTGCTTATTGTAGGTCTTGATTGGTTTATTGATAATGGAGGTTGTAGTGTGTCAAAATTGACATTTATGAGCTTATCTTTGCTTTCTTCGTGGTCTTCCTAGTTCTCATTGTTCCAGTCCTTTGCATGAACACAAGTAACATACATCTTCATATCAAGCAAAAGCATATGGAGATCTGATATCGGATTGCACACTTGTCTCATTACCTTTTCTATGTTGCATTGTACTTCTTTTTATATGGCATAATATTAACTAGCCTTGCGTCTTTTTTTCAAACTCATCATTTCCGTTTCTTCAAAAATTTCCGTAACTTTTTGACAAGCTTTTTGAAACTCTCAGGTCAAAACTTCTTCACACACACTTTTTTGCAAGCCGTGGGGGGAGGGGGGGTCTTCAACTTTGAAGCATTGAACCATAAATTTTGAGCACCTGGGGCTTCTGGAAATAAAGGGCGTCCTTCCACAACTCATATCTTGTATTCACTACTCATGCATATGCTTTTCACCATTCTTCATCTTGATCATGGCTGACCCCTACCTCTCTTAAAGACCTCTTTTTTCAAGCAGTGCATTCGAATATCTATGGTGGTGATGCTGAAACCACCCCAAATGGTGTCTCCTGTGCTTCTCCTGAGAAATGTCATTGACCTTCTTTCGTCTGGCATTATTTCTGATCTTATTTTGGTGTATGCTGCACATCCATCACATTCGAATTTCTGCTACACAGCTTGCACACTTGCCTATTAGTGGTCCAACATTCTGTTGTAGCAGGTTCTTGTTCTGTAGAGTTTGTCTCCCTCAACTTGAATGAAATGTATTAATCACACAAATCACACAAGCCTCAGGAAGCATGCTGCCCATATCAATTACCTTGTTCTTATCGTAAGGATAACATCCTCATCAATCTCTAATTATACTTAAGAACATCTCTAGAGTTGCAATTCTTACACTTTGTTTGTATCAACTTAATCTAAAACCTTTAGATCCCCCATTGTTCCTTCAAACCCCTAATCAATAACATTATAAGGATCATTTGTCAAAGCGGCTTGATTTCCTGCACTTCTATCACCAGATAATGGTATCTTCTTCCAAAGGAGAATCGTTACTCGTTTTAGGCATGCCAAGCCACCATAAGCATCACAACAATAACAACCACCATGTGACCAACCATAAACATCACAGCAACAACAGTTGAACCAACTCCAATTTTGCAAATTGCAATAAAGAGTTTGAATTGAATTAGTACATTAATCTTAGATTACAGTTTTGGACTTCTTCGAGTCTGATGTTATGTTGGATCTCATGTTGTCTACACTTTAAAAAGAAAAGTTAAACAATTTTCTTAAAAAACAACCGACTAAGCTTGAATAGAAACCATATTTTGATCTATTATAAAATCAGCTTGTTAAGTTATTTATCGTCTTCAAGAAACTCATAAGATTGCATTGCATCCAAAGATTCTCTTGTATGAATTTCTTGATTACATCATTTGACCACAGTCAACTTGCAATTAAACTGACTGAACGACCGCAAAAATTTAATAAACAGCTTTGATAATTTTGATTTTCATTTCTTCTAATGCAATTTACCAAAGAGTTAACTCATAGACATATGTATCTTGTCATATACTCTCTCGGTCACAAAATAAGTGTCCATATTTCTATTTTAGGTTGTCCCAAAATAAGTTTCCACTTCCAAAAGTAAATGCATAGTTTCCAATTCTACCCTTAATAGAAATTCCTCTATTATTAAGGGTAATTTGTCCTTTAATTAATTAAAAAGTGTAATAATTACAAATTTCTAAAAATGTGTGCCTTTTTGATTGTCTGACATTTATTTTAGGACCGAGGGAGTATGTTGTTATTCTTCATTGTAGGAATAAATTGCCATTGGAGAGAACCGCCTTTTCCAAACCTTTTGAGCTTTTTATTTGTATTACAAGTAATTGAAGGATTCAGTAAAGACCCCAAGAGTGTAGATTGATTTTCCATCCTTCTTTTATGGCTTTACAATGGGTGTTGCTTCTAAAATGCATTTTTAACGGTAAGAAATTTGACACCTAAGCTACACTACGGGTGCGTTTGGTATGCAGGACACAGGACAGAGCAAAAACTTATTGTCCCACATTTTGTGCAACATTAGACCAGTATAATGCAAAATTGAGTGGCACAAAATTAGGGAGACACGGAGATGGGTCAAGATTAGTAAATTACTAAATTACCCATGTCAAATTAAAACCCTAAACCTTGCACAATTCTTTAACCTGCCTATCTCACTCTCATCCGATAATACCTGTCTGCGTACCAAACGCACTCCACAAGACCAACTTCTATATTGTTGCAGGGAATATTTTTGTCTGAAATTCACTATTGTTTTTTTACAGCCAAAGTTTTCACCCAGCGTTTATCCTATCTACCCTCGTTAAAAAATGGGAACCCCAGAAACATCTCGTGAACCTTGTCCAGACCGTATACTTGATGATATTGGTGGAGCTTTTGGCATGGGTGCCGTTGGAGGGGCGGCCTTCCACTTCTTGAAGGGCACCTACAATTCCCCCAAAGGTGAACGCTTTGTTGGTGGGATCCAAGCAGTGCGAATGAATGCTCCTCGTGTTGGCGGCAGTTTTGCTGTCTGGGGTGGCCTTTTCTCCACTTTCGATTGCACAATGGTCTATCTCCGCCAGAAAGAGGATCCTTGGAACTCAATTATTGCAGGTGCCGCCACTGGAGGGTTTCTCCAGATGCGTCAGGGACTCGGTGCTGCCTCCCGATCGGCAGTTTTTGGTGGAGTGTTACTTGCTATGATCGAGGGTGCTGGGATCATGTTAAATAAGCTCATGAGTGCACCCCAGAATTTTCCTCCAATGGAAGAAGGCATGCCAAATATGCCCGGTGCACCTCAGAATTTTCCTCCAATAGGTCATCTTTCTAATCAAGCTCAAGTAAACATCGATAGCATGGGATCTTCATCTTCCACACCATCGTCATCAACACCATCATGGTTTGGAGGAGTTTTTGGTGGCGGAAAGCAGCAGGAGACACCACCAAGCAACGGTGGGAAAACACAGGTTTTGGAGAGCTTCGATGCTCCAAACCCACCTTCATTTGAATACAAATGAGTAATAGAAAGAGGTTTCGTGACAATTTTCAAACTTTTTTATAACATTTTGAAGTTTGGGGACAATCATTGAGTTCCCGTCATGTACTCCCAGGTTTGGCTCATATATGTCGTAGTAAGTTCTGATTTCATTCGATCTTGGCTTGAGCCCGAATGATGGGCTCGTATTTGATTCATGAGTATTTCGTTTGATTCTATACTCTATGAATCAAACAGATGTTTTTACTTGTAAAATAGAAAGGAAGCCAAAATCAGAATGTTTGTTTTTGGCATATTTGTTTTTAGTAGAAGGAAAAATGGAGTCTGGTTGTTTTGATGTACCATCTCAGATTCAACTTCTCATAATTTAACAACTTTCTTTTGTGTTAAATGAATGTGATCAGTGTGGCTTTGGTTTGTGTATGTTTTTGTATGTGTGTGTGTATATATATATATATATAGTAAAAATGACATGTTTTAGTTTAATTTAACCACCCCTGTGGCCGTTGATGTTGCCACCACCACAAGGCCAATGATCACTGCTGCTATCGTATCGTCACAACCGCTTCGTCACTTTATATTATCATTATATTATATTTTGTAATTACAACAAAAATGTATGGAAATGTAATAAAAGGCTATTTTGGTCATTTATTATTTTATTCTAATTCCGTGGTCAAATCTATCAAATTTTCTTCAAAATCAAATTTCTTTCAGACGTTATAATTATAGTAAGTTTCACTAAATCTTTGTATTACTAAATGTTTCATTTTATAAGAATAAAAAAAACGTGATAACATGGGAAATGGTTGAATAAATTAGAAGAAGATGCACCATGCATTTAATATTTAATAATAAATCTTTAAATGATATTATTAATTTAGTAGCCTATCATGATCATTAGTTAAAGATTTAATTAGTTGGATTATGGATCACTAAACTAAATAAGAAATGCCTAAATGTATCAATTTCTAACTAAGGTGCCGTTTACCAAACGCTTATCCGGGTAAAAGTTTACCAAGTTACATTACTTTACCGGATGAATATGGTAAGAAATAAGAATCTTACTTGGTAAGAGCGAAGATATTAATCGAGAGTCTTACCCGGTAAGTGAGGATGACGACTCTTACCACGGTAAGCGCTTACTAGGTAAATTGTTGCATATGATACCGTTTTGTATGATCTTGACATATGGATGTCCAATCCATAAATGCTAACCGGAAAAGTACAATTTGTAAATCCATCAAAGAGTGTGGAGGGTTTTGTAAAAAGACATATTAAATTAAATGTCTAACGGAACAAGCTTGGTAGTAGGAATGCTCATGGGTTGGGCTGATCGGGTTGAAGACATTTGAACAACTCAACCCAATGTTTGCTGTTTGGAAAATCTCAACCCAACCCAACATAAACCAAAGTGCGACCCAACCCTACCTAACCCGTACGGGTTGGTCAGGTTAGTCGGGTTGATACTTTGGTACATTAAAATATTTTTCTAACCTAGAATATGTTATTTCTCTACTCATAATTTCTTTTTCATCATCAACCATTTAATACAACTTATCCATACTTCTTACATATATCACATTCAATTAATTTTTTCAATTTAGATATATATGTTCACAGTTACTGAACATATATACTAATGAGTTATATAAAGATGTAAATATATTGAAAATATGTGTATATGAAGAGCATACATGATAGTGTAATTGTCTAATGTATATATTAATAGAAATTCAACAATCATATAAAATTCAAGAAATAAAAGGATATCAGGTTGGGTTGGGTTGGGTTGGGTTGGATTGGGTTGGGTTCAAATAATAGTAACCCAATACCTAGGGTTTGAAAATTTTACAATTCGATTAGACATCGGGTTGCTCCGGGTTGAGTTATTTCGTATTGGAATGATCGGGTTGGTCGGGTTTTTGAACACCCCTACTCGGTACTATGACCTTATTCATTTTCCGATCTTGTTCCAATATTTTAGTAAAATATCTTAATATTATATTCATTCATGTAAAATATTTTTCACATAAATAAAATAATAAAAATGGATATAAGTTTGGTAGATGAATATAGACCATTGAAATGAGATTAGATTTATGATGATGGGTTGGGCACCAAACCTATGGTTTTCAATCATCTTATCGTTGCAAATAAAACATCCAAATCTTGATGCATTTGTTTCTCTTTCTATGGACAAAAGGAATATAATCTTATATTTTAGATCTTGATGTTGGATTTATTAAAATATCACTTTCTAATATATTTATTTAGATTTAATTCTAACTTTTTTATAAGCTGCTTTTTCCTTCAATTCAGAACCGTCTAAAATAGGCTCTGCTCGAACTCGTGATCGACTCAACATATTAACGCCCCGAGCTACCCAATACTCGACTTGAAAAGCTCGTGAGATATTCGATCTTTTTATATATAATTAGTTTTTGAATATAATCAGTTTTATAATGTAATTGGTAAAATGTAATATAATATGATAAAAATGTCTTGTATTTTTTGATATTTGAATAAAATTGTGTGTTTTTTAACTATAAAATCAATAAATTATTTTTAATCAAAAGAAGACAGAAAACCTATAGAAATGTTGTTGAAGTTGTCCTATATTGAAAGATAGATGGTAAAAGAAGGGTGAAAATGAGTTATAAAAAGAGTGAAGGTGAATGGCGTTTGTAACTTTATCTTTTTGATGATGAAATTTGAGGTACATTCTTTTAAATTTATAAGAATTAAAGGAGAACAACTTTAAGCTTTAAAATTTATCAGATAAAAACCCCAAAATTCCATAAATTTCAATAGTGAGCTTGGTTCGAGTTCGAGCTCAAGCTTGATTCGAGCTCGAATTCGAGCTTCAAATGAGCAAGAGCTCGAGCCTAAAAAATTGCAAATGAGTAAGAGCTCGAGCCTAAAAAATTGCAATTGAGTTCGAGTCAAGTTAGTTTTTAAACACTCACAAGCTTTCAAGTTGAGTTTGAGTTTGAGAAATGACTATCGAGTTCGAGTCAAGTATATTAATACTCGAGCTTGACTCGTATCATTTACACTCCTAATCACACCTCAAAAGCTCACACCCCATAACCCATCTTCTTCGGTGATCTATTCACCATCGGCCGTCAAAGCTTCGGCCTTGCAACTCAATGTCGAAGCCAAGGTCGAATCCAACCAACTTCACATCGAAACCTAGATCGAAGCCCGCTTTACACAACAACCACAAATCGAATCATATTTTTCCCTCGTATCCTCTAAACCATCCCTTTTGCGTCCAATAACCATCGACAGGCCCTCTGTTGCCCTTCTCTGTGTGGTCTAACTCCAACGAACACACGCATAGTGGTTCATTTTCATGATTTTGTCCCCTTCACCTTACGAGTCTTCTCTTTCACCAACAAGCAACATATTAGCAAGAAAAAGTTTTGATTCAACTTCAAATGGGTTTTGGTTTTTGGTTTTGTTTTTTGGAAATGGTTAGATCTTTACAAATGAACAACGTCTACTATAGTCGTTGTGGGAATTGATGAGGACATTTGGTTAGCGGATTTCCTGTCCCTTTTCTTTGTCTTGAACGCCGTAAATGTAGATTTTGTTCACCACGGTTTCTTGCTCACTCTCTTCTCAAGATCACTGAACAAACAAACTTCTTCTTGCGGCTCTGCAGACGGGACCCTTGATGATGTAGATGTCGTAGCATCCATCACAGGTTCCTGTTGCGACATAAACTGCATATACACAATCCAATATAAATTAAAAAGTTTATCTAATTTAATTGTTAACTTGGTAAATAAAAACATTAATTTTTTTTAACATATTTACCGTATTCTCAGAAAAGTACGGCTGCGACATAAACTGCGTACGCACAATCTAATATAAATTAAAAAGTTTTTCGTATAATTGTTAACTTGTAAAGTAAAAACATTAAAATCTTAAACATATTTACCTCATCCATCGATGAGTATTACTGCGCCATAAACTACGTACGCACAATCCAATATAAATTTAATTTTTATTTAATTGTTACTTGTAAAGTAAGTAGATGAAAGAAGCTTAAACATATTTACTGTATCCATCAATGAGTATTGTTGCGGCATACACTGTGTACGTATAATCCACTATAATTTTTTTTATATATAATTGTTAACGTGTAAAAACATTAAAACCTTAAACATATTTACCGTATCCATCGGTGAGTATTGGTGCGCCATAAACTACGTACGCACAATCCAATATAAATTTAATGTTTATTTAATTGTTACTTATAAAGTAAAAACATGAAGAAGCTTAAACATACTTACATCATCACCCTGTCGAGGTATGTATGATGAAGGATCAGCCTCAGGTACTGATCTTGGCACATCGTTCTCATATTTGTTGAGTCTCACGTCGAGAAGTCCGTATTTTTCGTTAATAAGGTTTGTAATCGACGCGAACTTTTGATCGACCCCAACATTGAATTGGTTAAATTCAACATGCCATTGGAGGATGTCGGTATTATGCCACAGATGAATAACGTTGTTGTGGCTCATATAATGTGTATTTGTTCGGCAGCTGATAAGCATCAACTTTTTTGATGCTTTTACACCTTTTCTTATTTTCTTTATCCGTTTTAGTTTCCCAAAATTCCATAAATTGAGTCTTTTTATTTTATTTTTGCATCTTTTTTTTATATTAGAACTGAATTGATGTGATAAACATGTTTACTTCTTGGTATGTGCTAATTTTTGGGAGAAAGCTTTGTAAATAGGTGATTTAGCAGAAGTATGCTACAACATGTGCTGCTGGATGATTTCAGGGGCATTTTGGATAATAGTACGGAGGATATTTTGATGATATTTTGAAAGCTTGGTATGTGCTAATTTTTGGGAGAAAGTATCTTTACATTCTCTCTAAATTCAAAAAGTTTTCTTTAATCTTTATAATTCTCTTTAACATTTATTTCTTTTATTTTCTTTTCTTTTATTGCATTTTTCTTCCTATTAATATGCTTTATTATTTATGCAATTGATTTTATTATCTCAAGTATGGTAGGCTAAAAATATAGCTTGGGTATTGGGTGATGTTAAGAGAAACACCGATTCCTTTTGTAGAAAATTAAATAATAAGTCTTTCCAACTACGTCATTCAAGTTTATATTGCAAAAATATCATACATGGACAAGTTGATCACTTGTTTAAAAGTGTTAAAGTGTGTTAGATTTAGAGATAAACAAATAAGCACACGTCAATTTATATGATATGGAAGTAGGCTCGAGAGAGCTACTTAGAATCGAGGAGACTCGTTTTCACTTCATTTAGCTTATATGAGGAATAATTTGAGCCAAATGTCGAG